TTAAAAATGTTTAAATTGAATTTGTTGGGGTGACATTGGTTAATAACATTATATAGGTTTCAGGTGTACAATTCTGTAATGCATCGTCTGTATATTGTATTGTGCATTCACCATCCCAAGTGAAGTCTCTTCTGTCACCATTTATTCCCCCATCCCCGCTTCCCTCTTGTAATCACCATACTGTTGTCTGTGTCTATGAGTTTGTTTGTTTGGCCTACTCTATTCAGTTTCAAAAACTGACTAAGAGGACATTGAACGAGTATCATGAACTCCTGATTTATCTGATTGTGTATATATGACCTGTCTTAATGTTGTTGCAGAGGCAAATGTGATATCAAAAGACTGAATATTTAAATACTCATATAGTAAATAAATGAATAAAAATTGAGTTCTTGCAATCAACCAAGCAATATCAGAGCAAAACTATACTTGTTTGGGTCAATTGACTAAGGAATATGTCAAAATAGTTATTTGAGTACTTTTGGGTAGATAGTCACAGAATCAGGGCATGAGAATATTGTGTGCAGGTGAGTATGCAGAACCTGTAGATGTGAGAATGTGCATCCTGAACCACATGCACATCACCCTGCCCACTTCCTTGTACAGTGGCAGAGCAGCTCTCCAGAAACATGCACAATGGGTCAGTGTTTGGAGAGCAGGTGGTTTTAATAAATCTCAGTGTCCCAATTCATCTGCCCTTTGAGACAAAGTTGAAACTATTACTCTAAATTAGCTTCATTCCTTCTGCCAGCTGATAAAACTGTTTTACTGCCTGCTCCCTACCAGCTCCACATATCACTGTCCTCCCAATACCTTGCATTCAGGGCCTTCCCAACATGCCAGAAAACAACATAACTAGCTGTTTAGTTAATTCACTCAACAAAACAGTCACTCCATTGTGGGGTGGCAGTTGGGCAAAACTATCTAATTAGATTTAAATAAATCATCCAGTTTCTAATAAACTATAGACATAGAAACTAGACTCTGATGCTAGGGGGTGGCTTTTTAGCCATTCTTTATAATAATATGGGCTAGAAAAAAAATCTAATGTCTAATCACAGAGGAGCACATGGTCGTAGGGGAGTGAGGACGAGGAAAGGAGGTGGCAGTGCTGTAAAGTTCAGATTAAAAAGGACCCCTGGAGCATGAGTTATTTTTAAAAAAAAGGTTTTAGCCCATAGAATTTTATTTTATTTTTTTTTAAGATTTTATTTATTTTTTAGAGGGGGAAGGAAAGAGAAAGAGAGAGAGAGAGAAACATCAATGTGCGGTTGCTGGGGGTCATGGCCTGCAACCCAGACATGTACCCTGACTGGGAATCGAACCTGTGATGCTTTGGTTCGCAGCCCATGCTCAATCCACTGAGCTACACCAGCCAGGGCTAGTCCATAGAATTTTATAAACTATTCCCCAGGTTTCTAGTGAGTACAAGAGAGGTGGTGTGTGGTGTGTGTTTGTGGCAATGCATGATTCGAGGTGTCATTGTGTTGCCATAAGCTGCAGGGAATCAAAGCTACAGGTGGCTCTGTGGGGCCAGACCTGGACAGGGCAGCTCACTCTGTCACTAGACTTCATTACCTCTGCAAACACAGCCTTCTATTCAAATTTTCTCTGTATCTAAGAGTTGATTTTACTCATTTAGCACTTGACATTAAACTTTATGGGTCAGTGATGAATTATAAATAATAATGATACTATATTTCACAACATACTTTCAGCTCAGCCATTTAATTCTGAAACCCTAACAACACAATCATTTATTTATACAGCAAGTATGTAGTGAGTGATACGACTGACAAACCAGTATTTGAGGTGCTTGGGCAATGCCCACCATTCTGCTATCAACAGGCAAAGACCCCTTCCTACAGTTCTTAATTCTACAAAAAAAAGGGGGGGGGGAAACAACCAAATGAAATGAACTAATGAATAAGACAGAAGTGGAACACATTACAACTTGGCAAACAATATATTGGAAAATAGAGCCTCCACTAGGACTAGCCAAGGGTACTGGGAGGGTGGGTCTGGGGTGGGGAATGGCTGTACTGTCCTCACTTAGAAGATGGGTTTGAGCAGGCTTGAAGGATTCAGGGAATGAGCAGAGAAGATATCTGGGGAAAGGGCACTGCAAGTAGAGAAAGGCCTGATAATGGGAAGTGACCAGTAGGGATTCAGGGTTGGATGCAGTAGGATGAAAAGGGGGAGAGGAGTGAGACAGGATCAGAGAAGGAACTGCATTCACACCTGAGGGCTCACTGTAAGATTTTGGCTTTCTCTCTGAGGTGAATGAGAAGTCATTGTGATGACACTACTATCTTGGGCACTAAAAGGATGAGTCCAGCTGCTGCATTGAGAACAGATGTGAAAGAGGCCAGAGTATAGCCAATATTACACTGGTAGGAAACTCATGCAGAAACCCCAAGGGAGAGGAGGGGAGTTCAGGCCAAGGGTGCAGCAGGCAGAGGTAGAGAGAGCTGCCAGGGCTCTGATGATATTGTGAAGGGAGAGCCATCAGCATTTGCTTATAAACTAAATGCGGGACAGTGAAATCAGCCAGATTTTTTACTTGATCGATCGAAAGAATAGTTGTCATCCATTTAGATGGAGAAGGCTGTGTGTGTGTGTGTGTGTGTGTGTGTGTGTGTGTGTGTGTGTGTGTGTGTGTGTTCATTAGAGGAAGGCTTGGGGGACAGTTTAGAGCCAAGTTTTAGGTATGTCAACTTAAACATGCATTTTGATGAGCAGTTGAACAGTTGAATATAGAAGTCTGGTATTCAGTAGAAACAATGGAGAAGAAAGTAAAAGGATGGTCAAAAAATCAATATGGATTTAGAGGATGTTACTGGTAGTGAACTAGAATTCCAGAGAAAACATTAGAGACCTTTTAGGATTGGGTGGGAAGGAGAATGGTCATACTAGGAGATGCACAAAGCTTTGTGGTTCTTCAAATCCAAAGGAAAAACAATGACTTAACTTAGTTTAATGACTCAAATATATTACGATAAAATGCACATTTAGATGCAAGGATTCAAGGGAGATGGTGGAGACCAGGATACTAGCTTTCAAGGTTGAGGTGGCATTTCTGGGATCCTTGTTCATCCCTTAGAGTTGGTAGGAGGCCTGTGCTGCTGGATTTGTCCCCACACATTAGGCTTCCTCATCCTGATGAATGGAGCCCCCAGGAAAGTGGAATCTCAGACTGATGACTCTGTGCTGCCCAATTTCCATGAAGAAGGTGTTATACTGCTCTGAGTGTATGTTGTACATCATGATTCCTGTTACTCAGGACTGACCTTGCCATGACACGGGCACTCAGCTGCTAACCCCTGATGATGGAGAGCTATGGGCTGAGGCCCAGATCAGGTGTCTCTTTTCTAACCAGATCATGCATGGGCAGGCCTTAGGGCATGCGTGGTCTGTAAAATAGCAAGAGAGATGTAAGGTTATGGTACTATCATCTATGTTTGCAAGTGAGAGATGGAGAGTGAAAATGTCTGCTTAGAATAAAATATAAGTGTGTTAAACATGAATGTAGAAATCTTAGCTTAATCCAGTATTCATCAATAAGTAAGAGAGATCCATCTGGAAATGGAGTTTGATGAGCTTGCTGCATTTCTAAAGTTATTAGTCTCCATAATGCTCCTCCAAATACAAAATGCCTAGAAAACAATGTTTCAAAACCCAGAAAAAACTATTAATAATGTTATTGGAAAGTAAGTGAAAAGACTTTAGTGAAAAAAAAAAATCTCCTGGAAGAGATAAACACTGTAAAATTCCAGGTGGAATTAGAGGAGGATTAAAGTTTTAGCAAAATTATTAGCATAACATTAAACAAATTTACATTAGTTAATCACTGTTTAGCATTTACACAATTAGCATTTAAGCATTTAAGTAATTTAGCACTTGGTTAGCAACTATTTACTAGACACAGATACACAAAAATAGAGTGGCAAAGTTAGCTTTCAATGACAAGAATTTTATTGGGAACATACAGAATATACTTTAAAATAAGTCAAATATTATTGTTTCTTCATCATCACCATCTTTATATTCAAATTAAGTAGCAATGTTGAATTTTAACCAATCATACCAATCATGACCTTAAAAACTTACCATAACATTGTGAGGTCAATATCATTGTTCCAGGTATAGCCGGTAGTGAGGGAGTTATATGTCTGAGCTCTTACAACCAATAAAGAGCTAGGTCAAACTAGTTGAATCATAGTTCTAAGAAATCCCTACCCTAAAACATGTATGCAAAGATAAAAGGAAAAATTGCATTCCCAGTGGGGTATGGTGTGGGTTTCAGTGATGTTAGATTCAGAGGAATGGGGTTCATAATCCTCAAAAATTAGTCCCAGAATGGAGAACTTAAACGTAATTGAACAGTCATAGCAATTGTAAATATATAAAGGAATGGTTCTCAATAAATTAATCTAGAAGGAAATGGAAGGTAAGACAAATCAAGTATCACACAAAAAAGAAGCAAGAAACAGAGGAAGAGAGGGAGACAAATAAAAAGACACAAAGGCAAAGGAAAAGAAGAGAGAGAGGGAATGAGAGAGAAGAAGAAAAATAAAGAGGAGAAACACAATCAAGAGTCTGATGCTAGAATAATATTGGAGAGTTCTCAATCTGTTTAAAAACTGCCATTTCTAGTTGTTAATACATGGAAGACTTGGACTGAAAGGACGTTGAAAGGAATGAGAAATTATAATGAATGTGTAGATATGTTTAATACAAGATCCATTCATTTGAAGACACTTAATAAGAAAGCATGTGGAGCCATCTTGGATAAAGACTGTTGAGAATATTCCATTTCTAATATTACTGTATTTCACAATGCTCCCCCAAGAGCAAATATTTCATATTTTTCTTTTGTCCCTATGGGAAAAGTTCCATAGCAACAATGACTAAAGTGTTGCCCTAAATAGGGACATTTGTGTATCCTCCACTCCACACCAGCAAACTGCTATGATTGGAGTGTATCTCAGGACAGAATGTTAGGAATAGTTATCTGCAGTATTAGAAGCAGGGTCAGGATGACAGCTGGATGCACAAATTCCTGACTCTACTTCTGTCATAGGTGGCAAGACAAGAGGAGTCATGTCACAGATGAAAAAGTAAGGTCGGAGAACACCAGTGAACAGTTGGTTGAATGTATAGATGTAAGATCCATTTGTGATGTTGTAAAAAGAGATTTCACCTGCTTCATAGTCCAAGAAAATCCCAATGCAACAAGGCCGTTCTAGGTGGATGAGAGGCACCGATGGGGAGGCAAGGACCATGTACTCATCGCCTTTCAGCAGCCACATGGCCCAGACTCCGTTCTCAGGAGACGGTGTGGTTTCCCCCTTTCTTGGCACTGTGTCTTGACAGACTCCTAAACCCCACTCTGCTTTTTCTCCCACCAGGACTTCCCAGTAATGCCTTCCTGATGAGAAGTTCTGCAAACCCAGGACACAGGGCCATGTGTCAAATCGCTCAGGGTTGTTGGGGACATCCCTCCACATCTCTGCATCTTGCACACTGTGCAGATCAGCGGTCAAGAGAAGGCTAGGATGTGCTGTGGCAGGGTCCAGCTTCACATCAACTGCAGAAAGGATTTTGTGGGACATGTAAAAGAATGGGAAATGCTGGTAAACACTTAGGAAGCCATTACACTGAGGAGAATGATCACAACATCCCTCATTCCCTCTTTAACAGCTTCTAGAGAAAATACAGTAAATATTTCCCCTTGCAGGTCAAAGAGAACATTATTCATTCCTTTGGGTGTATTCCACTGCTAGTCTGCACCCAGGGATCACTCCTGCCCCATGAAGGCAGAATCGCCGGTGCTGACTGAACAAGCGCAAGACCATCACACCCAAAGCACCTACAGGCTCTGAGCAGTATCTTTTTGCATTTAAAATGAAATTTAAAAACCACATAGGGTGTATTTTTCTTTATTTACAAAATCTATGAGAAAAATTTTATTTATATAAAATACACCATTTTCAAAGCTATGTTATTGTGATAGGCAGAATTCTGAAATAGAACCCATGACCTCAGATCCTGGTGGTACTTTCATGATTGTTATACTCTATGACAAGAGGGAGATTATCTGGGTGAGTCTAATATAGTCACATCATTTTAAAAAATATTTTATATATTTATTTTTAGAGAGAGGGGAAGAGAGGGAGAAAGAAAAGGAGAGAAACATCAATATGTGGTTGCTGCTCACGTGCCCCCTACTGGGAACCTAGCCTGCAACCCAGGCATGTGCCCTGACTGGGAATCGAACCAGCAACCCTTTAGTTCACAGGCCAGAGCTCAGTCCACTGAGACACACCAGCCAGGGCCAATTTTTTTTTTAAATCAGAAAGATTTCTCTGGTTACTGTGCTGATGGCAGAAGACAAGTCAGAAATTTTAATTTGATTTGTCATCATTGGCTTTAAAGATGAAGGGGAAATACCATGAGAAGAAAGGCAAGTGACCTCCTGAGGAACTGGGGATCTCAGTCCTACAGCTGCCTGGAAGTGCTTTATGCTACCAAGTGATGTAAGATTGGAAGTGACTCTCCCCCAGACCTTTCATAGAAGTCTAGTGTGGCCAACAACTTCATTTTGATCTTGTGAAACCCTAAGCAGAGAAGCCAGCTGACCCCAGCTGTAAGACTTATCTGCAGAACCTTGAGCTAATAAATGGGTGTGGTTTCAAACATCTAAGTCTGTGGCAACTTGTAGGCATCAATAGGACACAAATACTGATAGTGGGAAGTTCCAGTGAGACTGATGTGAAATTTTAGTTGTAGTTATTAATAAGTAAAGCCACACATGGAATCTCCTCAGTGAAGAAGGAATAATGTAAAATATTCAGTTTTCTCTTTATAAACAAACACTCAAAAATAGTAAATTTAATTTAGTTTCATTTGTAATATCATGGTGACAAACATTACTACTGTGATTGCTATTATTTGTCTCTAAATCATGTCTCATGATGTTTTGTTAATATTCATACCTAAGTGAGTCATGCAGGTAGCTCACCATCTATGCTCACACATGAAACTACCTCAAGGTGGCCATTATCACCCACATTATAGACAACAAGACTGAGAGTTAAGAGCTTCATGTGATTTTCCCAAACTCAGAACTGAAAATAGCAGGGCTTAAACACGGGTCTCTGTGGGGTCGTTAAACCTATTTGACATGCTATATCTCACACATCAGTCCTGCTCCAGCTGCCTTCTTTATTCCATTTATAAGAAAAAAAGTCTGTGCACTGGTTTTTAATACAGTCTGTCTCCAACTCCTCTCTTGAACTGAACCACTCACCTAACCGAGCCACTCCTGTCCATCTCCCCAATGGTTTCCAGAATAGTGTGAGATGGACATTTTATATGACTTTTCTGTGGCACTTAACACTGCTGAGAAACACTTTGTCCTGGAGAACCTCCCTTCTCTCTGCCAAACAACAGTCATCATCTTTCCCTCCCTCTCTACTCACCACCCCTTCTTGGTTATCTTTGCTGCTTTTTCCTCTTCTCCTCCGTCACCTCTGGAAAAGCCAATGGTCTCAGGACTGGAACCTTTTCTCCCTTTTTCAGCTCACTCCCATGTGTTCTGGCTGGCTGGCTCTGTGCTTTAATTGAATTTCAATCATTTGCTTACTGATTCCAAATGCACAGTTCTAGCCTAGACCTTTCTCCTGAAACTCAGTCTTAGTAAATTCATCTGACAACCTGACATCTACATTTGGATATTCAACATTCTTTACAACACCTATATGTCCAAAACCCAGCTTCCCTCCTTCTGTCTTACCTGCAGCAATACTGTCAATGGAAATGGCAACTTCATTATGTCAATTCCAGAGGATTAAAGTTGGAAACTACTCATAAGTCTTCTCTTTGTCTGACATCTCATGTCTAATTGAGCAGCACATCTTCCCAGCTCTGTCTTCAAAATATGCCAAGATCCTGTCTCTTTCTCAGCACCCCCAGGACAAGTCCACAATCAACTCTGACTGAAGTATTACAAAGGTCCTAACTGCTTTTCCCACTTCAAGCCTTGCCCCTCTCTAACTGACTCTGAGTTAAGTGCACAAAGTGAGCTCCACAAAATGAGCAAACCCTGCTATTCCTCTACTTACAACTTTTCACTGATTGCCTCGTTCACTCAAAGGCAAGGCATCCTGCCCAGTGGCCTACTTATAGGGTCCTCTACTCCTGACCCAACCACCACAGCATGGGCTTCCTCACAAGTCCTGGAAGACAACTCCCATTCCTCCCTCTCTGGAAAGCCCTTCTCCAGATCAGGTGTGTGCTGCACTCACACATCCCTACTGGGTGAGGTCTTCCTCGATTGCCAAAATCAAAAGTTGATGCCCTACTCCCAGAACTTCTTGTCACCCTTATCTTTCTCTTTGTTTTCAATATTCTGTATCATCTTCTAACAATACAAAGGCATATTAAGTAATTTAAGTAAATTTGGGCAACATGAAGCTTAGGTTTGTAGCATTTTTGTTGTTTTTCAATGATATACTCCAATGCTTAGAATAGTAGCTGGCATAATACTTTTAAATACTGCATATTTGTTGAATGTATTAACTGATTATTTAATTCTGTAAATGTCACTGGGAATATGAGGACATGTATTCTGACAGTGTAATGATTAAAAGAATTTACACAGTTGTTATATATGAATTTGCCTATCAGAACATAGGTTGAATTATTGAACAAGACTACTAATGATTGGTTTTCTCACTATGGAACAAAACTGGTGTTTCCCATTGAATAGTGAAACCCCTATATAGTCATAGTGTTTTTTCATTACTTGGTATAAGTTGGATTAAAAAAGAAATTTTAAAATTGAATCTGGACTGTTTTAAAGAATAACATAATCAGTCCTGGCCAGTGTGGCTCAGTTGATTGGAGCATCATTCATAAACTGAAAGGTCGCAGGTTCACAGTCAGAACACATGCCTGGGTTGCGGGTCCAGTCCCTGGTTGAGGGCATGTGAGAGGCAACAGACTGATGTTTCTTTACCTCCCTTCCCCTCTCTCCAAAATCAATAAGCATATCCTCAGGTGAGGATTAAAAAAAAAACATAATCAGACAAAAGCAATTAATTTATGACACCGTAATTATTCCTACATAATAAGAATTGACTAAATATTTTTAGCTTTATGAACTCTCTAATTTAAGCAACTCATCAAATTGACAGTTAATATAATAACCAAAGTTAATATTTGATACTCTGCAATGCTTTTATATTGATGTTCTTTATTCTGCTTTCAAATATGTTTCCTTTAGTCTTTCAAATAATATTGTTTTATCATTTTAATAAACAAAAAATGCAGATTTGTTGGAGCTATTGTTACTCCTGTCACAGCTCCTGAGCCCACTGTTCTAACCAAATGTTGCATCTATGGCATCAGGACTGTTCATACCATCCCCGTCCCCTTTCCTCTGAGCATGGTGCTCTCTCCCATCCCCTTACAGACTGGCATTGCCATGGGGCTCCCTTCCACCAATAACATTGTTAGGGAAGCCATGAGCACCACACCTGCATGCATGCCTTCAGGAACAGGGCCTCATTCACCATAACCTCGCCCTCCTGCATGGCTACCAGCAACTGCAAGGATGTGGGCTGTATACATGGGCCTCAGAGTGAGAGATATGAAACCAAACCCTCCACTATCCTGTAATAAACCAATAAAATGACCTCAGAAAAAACTTGGCTGACTTTTGTCACTACACTTCAGGTTCTGCTTGCACCTGCTTGGTGTAGAAGCATCAAGGCACAAGACACCACATCCCCCAAGCACTAAGATGCAACCTACCTTGGAATTTTCTCAACATTTCTCTCATCCCGGGGATGCGACACATTGTCTTCAACTCCAAGGGGATAGTCTCCAGTTCTAGCTGTGTAACACTCTTACTTCTAGGAAGAGCACATAACCCACAGTTCTCAACATCCACCAACCTCCTCAGCCTCTTCCAACGCATCCTCTGCTCCAGAAAGTATACATACCGGCTCAAGACTCCTCTCACACCCTGGAAATAGAAGGAAAATACAAGCATGTGTGAGTTTGATGTCAAAATTGCTTTTGACAGACTGGGAACTAACCATGAACATCTGTTTGGAAATTATTAAAAATCACTAAACTATTAAGATAAAGTATAAGAGACATGAATCTCTCTTAATAAAAAACATAAAATAGGTTGCTGTTGAATTTTCTCATGAATTTAAAATAGTAGAATCAGTTTGCTTCTATGGAAATAGAATCAGACTACAGAAAGTTTAGGTTAATTCTCATGATATCTACCAATTTTAATTATTTTGCAAATTGATAATTCTGACACTTGGATATTTAATAAAATGTTACATTCTGTAACAAATGTATGTAGAATTGGGGTAAAAAAAGATCTTAAATATCTGCAGAATATGTTTGAGACACAGTGAAAGGTATAGGCATAAAATGTTACTTTCAATGTCTCTGTTTGAACAAAAAACACAAATTCCTCATTTTTTGAACCAACACACCTATCTATGGATTCATATGTGAGCAGTTTCCTATGTGGATAAAAACAGAAGTCAATAGTATCAAGAATCAGTTTATCTCAAAGTAGATTATTAAATAAATCAACTGTATTACATTTCTCCTCTCCCTCTAAAAATGTTTACCTATAAAATTAATTTTTATAAAGTATGGAAGTGATTAATTTTACTTTTTATGGCAGGCCTGGTTCTTGGCTGTGGGATGTAAAATGCAGCCTGTTGGTAATGGGGATGAGAAGAAGAGGTGAGGATGAAAATAAAAATAAATTATTTGAGTTTATCTTCCCTAAAATTTGTATCGTCAATCAATTTTAACATTTATTTGGTGCTAATGAATGGTCATTTTAAATAAGTTAGTTGTGTCCTGAAGTATAAGAAAATGAATGTTGTTAAAAATGCTCAAGTTCTTGTGTTTACCTCCTGTATGAAATTTTTTAAAAAATTCCTTTCTGACTTTTAGGTTGCTCAGAAGGAAATAGGTATAGCAATAATAACAACAACAGTAATAATTTTTTACTTATCTGTAGGTATTTTTAATACAAAATGGGTAAAATTAAATATAAATGCTTTGTAAATTCTTCATTTAATTACTTCCACTGTGCATAGTCACCATTCTTGTGGATGAGGATATGAATCCCTTAGTTTAGAAACCTCTGCATAAGTCAGTGGGGATGAGACAGAATAAAGTGTGCCCAGGAAATTTCTATTACAGTGGTTCTATCACAATGACACGTATCCATCAGTGAGGGATTTCCCAGTTCCCTGGGATTAATGCCTTCGTGGAGGATTAAAATGAGTGTGTCCTCCCCCTGTATTTGTCTATTCTATAATCCCATACAGAATGTGTGCAAACTGCATGGCACCTGTGTACTTGCTGCTGTGCCGGAACAGGCTTGTAATTGGCTTTTGCCTTAAATTTTAAGATGAAAATTCCAACCTGGACAATTTAAAATTTATTTACACACTTGTCTCTTCCCTGAGGCAGGTTACCAAAGACTTTCTGAATTGACCATTGCTAAATACAACAATATATAGTAATTGACAGAATGAAAGGTTTTAAGAATAAAAGGTTTTTTTTTTTCCAGCCCTGGCTGGTGTAGCTCAGTGGACTGAGCGCCGGCCAGTGAACAAAAGGGTCGCTGGTTTGATTTCCAGTCAGGGCAAGTGCCTGGTTTGCAAGCCAGGTCTGACGTGGCTGGGCGTGGAAAAGGCAAGCACATATTGATGTTTCTCTCCCTTTCTCTCTCTTTCCTTTCCCTTCTTTCTAAAAATAAATAAAATATTTTTCAGTGTTTTTCGGCCAACATACTGTAGGTTGTCATTTTTCTGTTTAATCTTATGCAAATAATCTGGTTAGTTTTAATTTTCAAAAATATTTAGGTTTTTCTGTTCAATGTGAACTATTATATGGTTCTGTAGGATACCCTGAAACTGATGCAGTCCCACAGAGATCGAAGGTGTCCTTTCCACGTAGTTGCGAGCGCAGCTGCTGCAGAGGCCTCACCTCCATTAGGTCCAGGGCCGGATGCCTGCAGCGGTCGTTCAGTTCCTGCGCCAGCTCGGACAACACCTGGCTGTGCTGCACCAGCTGTCTCTGGAAGTTGCGGAGTCTCTGCAGGGTGGCGCGCTCCTCCTGCTCCAGCTGCCGCAGCTGCAACCGCTCCTCCTGACCAAGGAAGCCTCGGTACTTCTCAAACTCAAGTCTGAAGCGCTGTCTCTGAGTTTCCACTTTCTCCTGGAAGGCGAAGTACAGCTGCTGCTGCCTTCCTGGGTGGTGAGGCCTGAAAAGGCTAGGTCCTGTGTGAACTCAGCTCCCCTAGTCTGGGGACTTACTGGCTCCTTTTCTTTTCTTTTCTTTTTTCCTTTTTTTTTTTATTGTTCAATTATAGTTGTCCCATTATCCCCCCATTACTCTCTTCAGCCCTACACCCCCACCTCCCACATTCATATGATTTCAACCTATATGTGGAACCTAATCAATAAAGTAAAGCCAGCAAAATAGAACCTGAGACATGGAAATAAAGAACAAGCTGTCAGTGACCAGAGGGGAGGTGGAGGGAGGGTAATGGGGGAAAGAACAGGGAAGGGTCATCAAGGAAGGTGTATAAAGGACCCATGGACAAAGACAATGGAGAGAGGGAAGACTGAATCACTGGCTCATTTTAAAAGCACACAGGAACCAGAGGCCGCTACGTGACACGTGGCCTTGCAGAGATTTCAAGCTGAGAGTTTAAGAAAGACATGGATTTGGACTTGGGGGCAATGTACTTCTACATTCAAGTTTCAGCACCATATACAAAAAATGGGAAAAGAGGGTATTAAAATTAAATGGCCACTAAATTCTCGAGTGCAGTCACTAACACAGAAGTTGAAATTTTCTATCAGAGGGGTCACTAGAAAGAGCACTGCCAGGAACAGTGGGGTCATGAAGAGACATCAGGGACCTTGGTTTGTACATATGAACAAAGAAAGGCTCAGAACTTAAAGAATATCAATGTCCCTCCCCATTCCAGCATCCAGTAACCCTGGGGCCAGGGTTCTCTGCAGAGCCCAGAGTGCTAAGCAGTCCAGTGACTGCAGATTTAACCTCAGGGAATTAATTTTATCTCAACTCAAATCTTGCCTTTATGGTTTTTGAATAGACTCAAGGAGAACATTGTGATACTGCATTATTATATCTAAACTGAGTATAATAGGCAAGCAATTCTACCATAGTCTCTCCACAATTTTAATTCCCTAGCTCACTTTTAAATATGACAACATCTTGGTTTGATTAAAGAGCATAAGCTAACACCTTTAAACATTAATAATAGTTTTCCTCAAATACCATAGGACTCAACTCCTCCCTCTAATTTCCCATCTCTACATCTGTCTACCACTTTCTAAATGACCAGATTTGTATAATAACCTCACCTCTTCAAATGAACAAACTCTGAATTCCATAATCTGATCTAGAAGTACAACTCAGGTAATTTCTCCAGATGCTGGAGGCTATGCAAAGTAGGGGTGATAACTCAGTCACAAATGGGGCATGAGGGATGATGTGGTGAGAAGGGGTTTGGGTGCAATGCATTTTTCTCTCACATTATCATTTTCAGTACTACAATTATATCTACAGACATAGGCAGGAAAAGGGTTTTGTAGCATTTGGAGTTCATCGTATTATACCTATGCTTGTGCCTTTGGCTCACATGAATACATTCTCAATAATAAAGATCATGCAGATTTACTTGGCTTAGAACAGGAAATTAGTATCACCTCTACTTTAGAATTACCAGGGTGGATTTTTTAAAATGCAGGACCAAGATCTTGATGAGGAGGTTTCTGATTAAGTAAGTCTGTGGTCAGATCAGGATTATTAACCTACAAGTACAAAAATGATCAATAAATGTGTGGCTTTGCATATAAAAATATAGCTATGGAAAACATCTCAGAAGAAAAATGTGCCAAAAGTGGTTCTTATGAAAATATCTGTCTGAGGATATAGCATAAGACCCTGTTATCAAGAAAAGGAGAGAACTAGAAAAAAAATGATCAGAGAATGGTTATGTGCAGGGGGACAAAGAATACCAAAAATCTCAAGTTCCATTCAAGACCAAAATGTAGGTGGACATGGTGCTCACTCCTCCCATGAACACATCCAAATTATAACTAAATTATAGAATAATTAACCTGGAAAACCATCTAAAGACTGGCTGAATAGAAGTTATATAACAGAAGAAGCCACGTCAAGACTGGTAGAAAGAATGAAGATACAAAAAGGGCTAGTCCCCACATCCATGTGCAGTGACTGGGAATCAGGAGGGATACTTCAGCTGCAGAGGTCCCACCTGAGGAGGAAGGGGTCTCAATCCCACACTAAGCTTCCCAACCCATAGCACCAGTGCCAAAAAAAGAGGGGCCCCACAACATCTGGCTGTGAAAATCAATGAGTCCTTTTCTTAATGTAAAAATAACTGACATTTTTAGGAAGAATCCCTGAAACATTCCAAAGGATCTCCACTCCCCCTCTCTCTTTATTTAAAAAAAAAAAAGGAAAATAAGCTAATTAAGTCTATTTGAGTTGCTAACATTACATGAGAAACATTGTCAAATAAATAATTGTTATAGTTGTATGTATATATTATTACTATTATTAAAATAAATTTCCTAGAAATTTAAAAAATTACAACTAAACTATAGAACAACCATCATTCAAAACCATCAGAAATTGAGCTGGATGGCAGTCCTACAACCATGGAATTAAAGAAGAAACCACAGTGAGACTGGTAGGAGGAGAGGAGATGTGGAGCAGGCTGGTCTCACATCCACATGTGGTAGGTAAACATCAGGAGGGATATCTCAGGAGCAAGCAGTCCCAGCTCCACACCATGTCCCCCATCCCCGGATTCTGGGTCTAAGAAAATAAGTCTTCCTAACTTCTGGCTGTAAAAACCAGTTGGGAGTTGGGATTGAGGTTGTGGAAAACAAAAACTGCTGAAATTCTAGGCAGTTCCTTTTAAAGGATCCACAGATTTACTTCGACTCACTCCCTCTGAGCACCAGTGCTGCAGCAGAAGACTGAAAGGCATCAGAGACATATGGGAAAAAATACAATTGCCCAGCATCAGGGTGAGAGCTAGGGGGCAGCTTCCTCCCAGATGGAAGTGCTGGCAGAGGCCACTATTCCTTTTCTGAGCCTTCCTCCAACAGCCAACAGACAGGTAACATATCTGAGACTCCATCAGCCTGGCTCACACTATAAGCCCCACCCTGGTAATTCCCTGAGGCCCACCCAAGCTGTTTCCATACAAATGGTTTATCTTGTCCAATGCTTCAACCTTTTCTAAATTCTCTCAAACAAGCAGCATCTGGTTTCAGAGGCCCTATACTTCTTGTTAAGTTGCCCCAGGCCTGGCACTAGTAGCAGCCAGCCTTGGTTCACAGCTTTGCCTTTAATGGGGCACCTTTAAGCCCAGTATAAGTAGCAGTCATCTGCAGATTGCTTTTTACCTTATGCTGTGTGGCCCTGAACAGAACACAGGCAGTGACTGGCCTTCAACATACCAACAGAAATCAAGGCTCAATTACAGCAAGAGACTGTACACACAGTGCATGCACCTTGAGTACCCAGCTTGGGTAATAGGAAATGTTGTGCCACTGAACCATACAGGACACCTACTATATTAAGCAACTCTACCAAGACAGGGAGTCATAGAAGCTCTACCTAATACATAAAAACAAACACAGGGAGGCTGCCAAAATGAGGAGACAAAGAAACATAGACCAAATGAAAGAAATGAAGTCCAGAAAAAGAATAAAACAAAATAGAGACAAGCAATCTACTAGATGCAGAGTTCAAAACTCTGATTATAAAAATGTTCAAGGTACTTAGTGAAAACCTGACAGCATAAAAAAGATCCAGTCAGAAATGAAGGACATACTAATGGAAATAAAGAACAATTTATAAGGCATCAAAAATTGGATGAAGCCAAGAATCAAATCAGCAATTCAGAACATAAGGAAGCAAAAAGCAACCAATCAGAGCAGCAAGAAGAAAAAAAAAACAGTCCAAAAATTGAGGATAGTGTAAGGAAACTTTGGAACAACTTTAAGCATATCAACATTTGCATCATGGGAGTGCTAAAGGGAGAAGAGAGCAAGGTATTGGAAACCTGCTTGAAGAAATGACAGAATACTTCCCTAACTTGGTGAAGGAAATAGACATACACGTCCAGAAAGCACAGAGAGTCCCAAAAAGGCCCACACCAAGACACATCATAATTAAAATACAAAAGGTTAGAGACAAAGAGAGAATCTTAAAGGCAGCAAGAGAAAAGCAGTTAGTTACCTACAACAGAGCTCCCATAAGACTGTCGGCTGATGTTTCAAAGGAAACTCTGCAGGCTAAAAGGGATTTGCAAGATATATTCAAAGTGATGAAAAGCAAAAACCAAAGTCATCTTGGTTGTAACCAAGATTACTCTATCCAGCAAAGCTCTCATTTAGAATTGATGGACAGATAAAGAGCTTGCCAGACAAGAAAAATCTAAAGGAGTTTACCACCACCAAACCAGTATTACATGAAATGTTAAAGGGTCTTCTTTAAGAAAAAGAAGAAGAAAAAAATATGAACAATATAATGGCAATAAAGACATATCTATCAACAATTGAATCTAACAAACAAAATAAATAAACAAGCAGAACAGAAACAGAACCACAGACACAGAGAACATTTTGATGGTTCCCAGAAGGGAGGGAGTTGAATGAAAAAAGTAAAGGAATTAAGAAGTACAAATTAGTAGTTACAGAATAGTCATGGGAAAGTAAACCAGAGCATAGGGAATAGAGTAACCAAAGAACATACATGTATGACACAGGAACAATGTAGGGATTACCTGAGGGAGAGGAGGGGTGGCAGTGCAGAGGAACAAAGGGGAAAAGTTGGTACAATTGTAATAGCATATACAATAAAATATAATGAAAAAAACACATTAGAGGGCCCTGGCCAGGTGGCTTAGTTGGTTGGAGCATCATACAATACACCAAAAGGATGCAAGTTCAATTCCCTGTCAGGGCACATGTTTAGGTTTAAGTTTGATCACCCATTGATGTGAAGGCAGGAGGCAACCAATCAATGTTTCTCTCTTATATAAATGCCTCTATCTATCTGTCTATCTATCTATCTATCTATCTATCTCTATCTCTCTCCATTCCTGTCTCTCTAGAACTAATAAAAAAATTATCCCTGGTGAT